TACGCTGCAATTCAGTTCATCAGTGATTTGTCCAACAGACAGTAACCGATTAGATAAAGATGGAACTAGTAGAGTATTTGTCAATGACAGAGACTGAGAAAGATTAACACTGCCAGCTCCTGTAACACGAAAGCAACCGCCGTTAGCATTAAAAATATGCTGTCGCCTTGGAGTGGTACGGTGAAGGAGGTCCTCAGCATTGGGTGTCATATGATCCGTGGCACCCAAATCTATAATCCATCCATCACAGCCGTTACTTGTAGAAGCACTGACAAGCATAAACCCATCGTTACCTTCAAAGGCTGCAGTCGGGGTAGAGGTAGTGTCTACCGTCAGTACTAAAGATAAGGCCGAGGCAACTGAGGCCCTATCCAAGTCACCAGTAGCCAAGGACGCCTGTCCCTTCCCTACCGCAGTATCTCCTTTCTTCTTAGCCTGTAATGCCCTCCACCAATCAGGATAGCCATGCAACTTAAAATAGGTTTCCTTTGTGTGCTTAGAATTCCTACCGTGGCTAGAGCCCCCTACGTTCTGCGGAGATGATCTAGCCCTCAAACCATCACCGGAGCGTCCTCCCCCAGAACCGCCAGGCACCATCTGCAAGGTAGTGTGTACGGTGCTCCTCTCAGGAATTTTCTGGCCAAGTTTTCCTCCACGTGACACCATAGCAGCAGCGGATGTAGTGTCTGGACGTGTGAGCATAACATTTTGACGCATATCCTCACGTCGAACTCGTGCATAGGCTTGCTCTACGGTAAGAAAAGGTTGCATTTGCAGCACATCAGCCCTGACATTGTCAAGGCGATCATCGAGGCCATCCAAAAATAAGTAGACACGATCTTCTTGTACTAAGGCATTATAGCACTCAATATCGCTAGGGCATGTCATGGGGTTCGGACGGCGAAAGTCAACCTCCCGCCAAAGACCTTGAAGAGTATTGTAATATTTCTCAATGGGTCCACCTACCTGCTTCAATCGACTCAGGCGTTGCTTCAGATCATATACCTGGGAAACATCGGAGCCGTCAAAGAATGTTGTAGCTACGGCCTCCCAAACCGCCTTAGCGGTGGGGTACCGAATAAAATTGCCAATCAATTCAGGGACCATGGAATTGATAAGCCAGCCTTTAACTATAGAGTCGTCAATTTTCCACTTCCGAAAAATAGGATCGATTGGAAGTGGTGGGGAAAGATCTCCATTAATATGCCCCAATTTGTCTTTTCCGGAGATGTACATCTCGACAACTTGGGTCCAAAGGCCATAATTGTGGCCATCTAACTTCACGGCAATGGATGGTGCAGGAGCCTCAACGTGGGATGGTGAGACCTGATGAGTGGTCAAAATTTGGGTCAACTTCGATGTTAAATTCTCAAGGAGGGCATCAGTGGTGGGAGCCCCTCCTAGAGCTTGGAAAGGAACACTGCCACCCGAAGGGTGCGCAACAACTCCTGCTGAAGCTGGAGGGGCCACATCGGATGGGATCTTGTCATCGGCCATGTCTCGAGAAGAGAAGAAAAGGTACGGTAACCAATCGTGGTCGCGGCGATTTCTGGTTTAGAAGGTCGGAGCGGCGAAGAGATCGCGGTGAGAGAGGGTCGGCGCGATGACAAGCAAAGTCGCGGCGGGTCGTAGTACCTCCGCTGTGGTCGGTGGCGAGTCAAGCGATCGACACAGCAGGTGGCCGCGCTGGATTGTGAAGTAGAAGAGAAGACCAAACCCTAGTTTCTAGGTTTGGTTCAATTGGTCGGGTCAACAGGTTCCTAATCGAACCCGCTCTAATACCATGTAGAAAAGTGAGGAAAGAATGAAGAATTCTCTCATTGATTTGTATATTCTTGCTTTTCAAGGTTACAATATAACATGTATATATATACAGAGAAGGACAACCCTAATTGTCCTACAAGTCAGGAGATAAGAATAGGAAGAAACCAAATAAGGAAAACTTCTCCTATTAGGACGCTAATTGACAGCTCATCAACATTAGCTTATTGGATGATCGGGGTATTTTTGTCTCTTTACTTTTTTTTGAATTTTTTTACTTCTTTGAATTTTTTTCCTTTCTTTTCTTTTTTTTTTCCTTTTGCTTTTTCTTTCTTTTCTAGTTTTCTTTTTGTTCTTCGCTGGTGGCCGGCGGCCAGCCAGCCACCGGCGAAGCCCGGGAAGGGCTGGGCGACCCTTACCCAGCCCAATCTAGCGAGGGACGGCCTCACCTGCGCGAGGCAACCCTTGCCCTAGGGGAGGCTGCCCTTGTCGGCCATGGGCAAGGCAGGCCCTCGCCAAATCTAGGCGAGGGTCACCTCGCTGGCCATGGATGAGGTTGGCCCTCGCTAGATCCTAGTGAGGGTCGCCTCGCCAGCAATGGGTGAGGGACGGCCTCACCGGCCTTGGGCGAGGCCTGTGACATCCCGAATTTCGGCCCATTTTTGGGATTTATAAAACGTGTAATTCGTCAGTGCACTTATAATAGAATCTCGCCCGGGAACTGATCACTCTCGGGTTCTTGTTTTTAAAATAGAGATTTTTGCTAGAATTGCACTCAATCGAATTTGGCCGTTATTTAGACCCCAAACTTGGCAGTCGATTTTCGGGAGTTTCGGGACGAAATAAATTGGACGGTGTCAATATTATTGTGGCCAGCGTCGAGATTATCAGGAATAGTGAGAAAGTGAAATTTTGGACTGGGTGCAGATTTGGACTAGTAAACCTCCCTCGTTATAGTTTGATTTAATTAATTTGGCCTTTATCCCTTATTATATTCGAGGGTTATTTTGGACCGGTAGATCATTTTCGATTTTGAATTTGGGCCATCGGATCGCAATTAATATTTGAATGAAGTTTATTTTCTTTTATCTCTCTCTCTCCTCTGCGCGCCCCACTTCCGCGCATGTTTCCCCCCTGCTTGCGTCCCATCTGCCCATACCCATGCAGACCAACCTCCTGACATTCTCTCTCCTCCTTTCTCTTTTTCTTTTCTTCCTTCTCTTCTCTTTCTTCTTCTCTTCCTTCTCCTTCGCCGCGTCTGGTTCTGCTTCGCCTCCGCTTCTGCTCGCCCAGCCAACGCCGCCCGAGCCCGCCTGACCGCCGAGCGCCGCAGCCGTCGCCAGCAAGCTTGGACGCCGTCGCGCCGACCACTAGCCGCCGCCTCGGCTGTCCTCTTCTCCTTCCTTGCTGTTGTTGCCCGTGCGTCTTCTGCTCTTGGCTTCTGCTTCGGTTCTGCTCGCCGGCCACCAGCACCGCCGTGCTTTGCCACCGCCGTCCTCCTCGCGCCGTCGTCGCGCCGCCGCGCCGCGCGGCAGCTCCGCCGACACTGCCTTCCTCCCTTCCCGAGCGCCCGAGCTCGGCTCGTCGCCGCTCGCCGCCGCATCCGGTGAGTCTCGACCGCCATCCAGCCAGCTCCCCAGCACTGCCCCGACACCTGGACGTCGCCGCCGTTGTTGTTGCTGCTCCGGCGAGACCCCCGGTTCCCCCTTTCCCCTATTTTTCTCTCCCCCGAAGCCTTTCCCTGTTCTGGACTTCTTCCCGCCGCTGCTGCCCGTCGCGCCCGGCCGCCGCTATTCGCCGGTGCCGTCGCCGTGGGCCGCCATCCCTCTCACCCCAGCCGGCAACCCCCCTCCTCTCCTATCCGCCCCGTGAGCCTCCTCCCCCTCTCTCCCTCTCTGTTTTGGCCGTGAGAGGCCTTCCGCTGGAGGAGCTCCACCGTCGCCGTTACTGTTCCGGCACGGACCTGCCGCCTCGCCCAGTTGTCCAGCCGCCCCATTTCTTCCCCTCTCTCTGGCCGTGTCCCTTCCCCCTCCCTAAGCCGCGGAATCGTCTAGTCCGTCGCTGCGCGTTCGCCGGAGTTGCGGCTGAGCCGAGGCTGCTGCCGTTGCTGTTCCGGTCCCCCTCGCCACCCTTGCGCGGCTTGTTCTCACTTAGGCCCGAGGTAAGCGACTCCCTAAACTCCGTCTAGGACTTTGGGTATTATTTGACTCGTTTAGGGGTTTATTAATGCGGATTAAGGACTAATTTGGTGGCTGATCATATGGGCTGTTCATGGCTGGATTAGTTGGTGATTTATGATGGTTTAGAGGCTTGTTTAGTGGCTGTTATTGGCTGAGTCAATTGCTGGTTCGGCGGGATGATGTTGGTGAATCTATTGAGCGGAATGTGGGTTAAAATGTGTGGGAAATGGCGAGCGTTGTGACGGTCGAATGTTGCTTGATTAGAAGGTTGATTTAGTGCCCAATGTGTGTGTGACAATGGCTGATTTATGGGCGTATTGTGGCTGGTTTTAGGACTGAGTTAGGGTTTGTCATGAGCCGTGATAATGGCTAGTCCGATGGATTGTTAATAAACAAGCTTTGGAGTGGAATTGTAGGATATATTGTGTCGGTGTAGCGTGCTAAGTGTGGCTAATGATTGCTTGATTTATGGATTGATTCCATGTTTGAAATTGGGTGCTCAAGTGATGTTTTGATGACAAAGTAGTTGCCATCCTTCGGATGACCGCTTGTTGGTGCGCAAGCGTGAATTTAATTGGTGGGATCGTGGCTATTTTTAATGTGCTAGTATGGTGAATTGCATTGTGGTTGTCTGGACACACTTGGGTGATATTTGAACGTGTGAATGCCATGAAATTGATTGAATTATGTGGCGTGTATGCTTGACAAGCCCGGATCGATCGGAGGGCTGCCAACCTGAGGGGTGTTGACCCGGGTTGTGAGAAAGGACCTGTGGGGTGTTGACCCGGGTCGTGTGAAAGTTTGTTTTTGAAAGGTCCTGTGGGGTGTTGACCCGGGACAGAGCCCGGATTGATCGGAGGGCTGACCTGTGGGGTGTTGACCCGGGTCGTGTGAAAGTTTGTTTTTGAAAGGTCCTGTGGGGTGTTGACCCGGGACAGAGCCCGGATTGATCGGAGGGCTGACCTGTGGGGTGTTGACCCGGGTCGTGTGAAAGTTTGTTTTTGCGCACGACAGGCAACGCAAGTAAAGAAGAAAGGCAGACAGCCAACGCAACAAAGATTTTACACTCAGTGAAGTGGGAGCGCATTATTTTGGATGAGGTGAGTGAATGGGAGTATCTTGCGGTGATATGAGTGCTAACATAGTTCAATGCTTTGTAACCGATATAAAGATTTCGATATGTCCATGCTGGCAACACGTGATTCGTTATTTTGTTTGGCTGGGTGAAGCCACGCATGAATGCGTTAATTTGCTCTTGGCAAGACAAATTTCTGTAAGATTAGGCCTTTCAATTGAAGGTTTGATTACTTTTAGGGAACCGTATATGCATGTTCTTTTCCACAATTTATAAAAAAAACTTCTATCCGGGATCTCTTAGTATGATTTGCTTCGTGATCTTTGAACATTCATCTGCATGTACATTTCCCACTTATGCCTATGCAATTTTATTCAATGTAGGCTCACTTTGTCAAAGATAGGCGATGTAATACTGTAAAAGCAGTTCTCGGACTGGAGTCTTCATACAGATGGGCTTTAAGTGGAACACCTCTTCAAAATCGTGTTGGGGAGCTCTACTCTCTTGTAAGTTTCTATTTTATACAAGTGGTTAATTGTTATTCACCTTCTTTAGTCAATCACATTGTCCTGCAATAAACTTTTCGGGTCCGTTTTCTTCGAATTGTTGTCTGGGTTGACTTCACTTTCATTATCTTAGTTAATGCAATCTCACTCTTTGTTTTCTGCATTAACTTTATCGATTGGTCTTAGAGCTTCACCTGCTGATTGCATGCACTGAGTTCAGTGAATGTATTTTTCCTTTGTTACCTATTTTGTAAGTCTGTTGTTCATTTGCAGTTCCTCAAAACAATGTCCTGAATGCTCTCACAGTTCTGTACGGCACTTTTGTTGGTGGAATCGAGTGAGTTGCATTTTCATTGGTCCTTTGGCCTCTCTCTCTTTTTTTTTTGGGCAAATCATATGGAATGTTTTCATTTGAACTCTGATATGGAGTATATATTCTATCTAGTATATAGCGAATCCTATACAAGCACATGGAAATGCCATTGGCAGAAGGCGAGCAATGATATTACTAAAACAGTATTTTGAAAAACATTTTGCTGAGACGCACAAAAAAGGGAAGAGCTGCTGATCTTGCACTTCCACCTAGAATTGTGAGTTCTCTTGCATATGTGTACAATTGCAATTCGGCATGTCGAAGATTTTTAACTTAAATCCACCGCTTCCTGCCCTCTTCACTTTCCCTGCAGCTTACTTTGAGGCGGGATACACTGGACATTAGAGAAGAGGATTATTACACATCATTGTACAATGAGGTCCAATCTAACCTTGTGCGGTGTGCATATTGATTGGTAGGTCCGTTAATCTAGGCTTCTTAATTTGCTCTTTCAGAGGATCAATTAGACTGAAAATGTGTCACCAGAAATTTCTAGCAATTGCTTTCATAGCCTAAAGATATATAAATGTTCTAAGTGCAATCCTTTTAATTTTGGACGCGAAATTTTGGCAATTGTAGGTATTTCACTTTCTTCTCTGGGCTTGTGGGACTTTGAGTATCGCATTGTATGTCAACAAGTGAATGTCACTTCTTTGGAGGAGGTGATGAAGCACTTCATGCAAACCTTATAGGAGAAAGCAGAGTGGGCGCAAGATTGGAAGTATCTTTTCATACATATCGGGGATAAGCTTTGCTTCAGCATCTTCAGTGCCAGAAGTGCAGTTGGCCCAATATGTTCCTGCCCTGGAAAGAATTGCCACCCTGAGGTTGCTTAAGCAAGTGCTTTAAAGTGCTCAAGATTATTTATTCTCTTATTATGTGTACTATAAATAAAAATATATGTCATTCTTGTGGACAATGCAGATGAATGTATTTCATTTTCATATTATTATAATATTTTGATGTTATTAAGTGCTTAATCAATGATAAATATAAATTGTAGGAATTAATTTTGCTGTTAATTAGATTTAAAATCGAAGTCGTCCCTAAACAATATTCGTCGCTAAAGAATTAATAAAAATTCGTCGCTAAATAATTAATAAAAATTCGTTGCTATTATTGACAAAAAAAAAATTGGCAAATTAGCGATGAATTTTGTCATGAATAATTAGCGACGAATTTTGCGACGAATTTTGTGACGAATAATTTGTGACGAATTTTGCAACGAATAATTTGCCACGAATTTTGCGACGAATTTTGCGATGAATAATTAGCGACGACTTTTGCGATGAATTTTGCACCGAAATTTGCGACGAATAAAGTTCATGGCAAATTTTGCGACGGATTTTGCGACGAATTTTGCGACGAAATTTGCGACGAATTTTGCGACGAAATATTTGCGACGAACTTTGTGACGGATAGTGTTCGTGGCTAATTTGCGACGAATTTTGTGACGAATTATTTGCGATGAATTTTGCGACGAATTTTTTTTCCGTCGCAAAAATTTGCGACGACCTAGTAGCGACGGAATTTTTTCCGTCGCAAAATCGATTTGCGACGGATTTTTGCAATTTTTTCGTTGCAAAGTTCGTCGCAAAAAACATGTTTTTTTGTAGTGATGTCGTATAGTATAAAATGTAGATTATGTTAGACTAGTGCATGCTAATCTTTCCCCATCATTAGAATTCGGTCGTATAAATTACATATCGCATGTCATTAGTGTAGTAAACCATGCATATCAAATTTAGATTAAAGTTGCATACAATTAGTTTTCATAATTATAAAAAAAGAACAACAAAAAAGAATTAAATGTCATATCATTTAGAAATCATGTTTAGGGTATGCATTTTTTTATAATTAACAACCATGTGGATATTTGGAAAACAATCATAATGAAATTATGATTTGCTTTGCATTGAGATTAGTCCATTTCCTTAGCAATTTATTTAATGTTTTGATTATTGAGTGTTAAATTATTGATTGTGCACTCATATAACCACCCTTTGCAATGTTAGTGGCTTAAGTTAAAATCAACGAAGACTGCTTGCGAAATATTTTTGAAAATAAAATGAAAAAGTGCTGAAAGGTCATTAAAATTAATCTAGCGAATCAAGTCACTGAACCTGTTGAATCTCTGGTTTATAAAAATAAAGTATTTTCCTATACTTTACTTGAGTTTCTAATTGACCCTAATTGATTAATGGCGACTCCTAATTGAATGAAATTGCATGTTTAGATTGATAAATTTGAGAACCAAGTTGCAATTGGTAAGACTCGGGAGCGTCCGCGCTGAGTCTTCGGACTTAATAATTAGCTTTCTCATTAGTGTTTCACCTCTAAAACTCCGTTTGTTTTGTAGAAAATGTTAAATATTTGGAAAATAGTTTTCAGGAAGTTATTTTCCGATTGAAATCTGAAAAAGAATTGGAAAATATTTTTCGGTGTTTAGACAATGAGAGCTAATGGTGTGCGAGAATGAGACTTAAACATGAGTCATCCGATTATTACATTTAGTTCTTATTGCGGAAGTCGGATGAGAAAGGGAGCTTAGTAGAAGACGAAGAGGTGTCAATTTCAAGTGCACACAAACATGTTACATTTGAGGAGTTTCACAATAGCTTCAAAAATCACTTGAATTCGAACATAAGTAGGCAGAGAGAAAACTTATACGGAGGATCCACAAACTTTCAAGGTAAGCTAAGTCAACGAAAATGCCATCAAGAAAACCCCCCCACCCAAAAGTAAAAGAGAACAAAGAAAAGGAAAGAAAGAAATCCGTAATAGCCCAGATGTCCCCATTCAAACATCAAACGCCCTCCCACCCACGCACGGAATTTACATGATTGTGGATAGTTACTTCCCTCTTAATGCCGAGCAGCACGTGATTGTGGTGATCGTCATTCGACAGTCGGCTTTTAGATCCCACTTGATTGGGTGGTCGCCGGCTCGTCCGCACTAGTTTGCAAGAGTTGTTAGTCGGTAGTCCGCTCCTTCACCGGCCTTGTATGCGAGAGGTGTTGGTTGGCAGTTTGCTCCCCCACCTGCCTTGTATGCGTGAGGCGTTGGCTGGTAGTCTCCTCCACTACCCGCCTTGTATGCGAGACGGGTTGGTCGGTAGACTGCTCCCCCACCTGCCTTGATTGCGTGAGGTCTTGGTCGGTCTGCAGCCGCTGGCTCGCATGTGACAGTGGCCTTTTGCCATCGCGGTTAAATGGCCTGGCTTAGGTAGGCATGACAATTTACCGGTAAATCTAAGTTACAAGGAGAGCGCAGGAAAATTTAGGATAAAATAACCTCCAAATTTTTACTAATCTAAAGCAGTCTCACCTGGAATTCTCCGCCATTAAGTACCGCAACAAGAGATCAATTCAGCAATTGAATTTAAGAGACAATATAGGCAGAGCAATGGAAGGGAATGGGCTGGGAGAGAGAAGCCAAAGGTCGAGGATAATGGGAAAGTGTGTTGAAGCAGGGGGTTCTGTCTGCTTATTTATATCAATGCCTGAAGCAAAAGTCTTGAGGCAAGGGATCATGTATTGGAGTCATTCTTTACCCAGAAAAGTCGCTTTCATGTTGTGATGTCAAACATACATTCCGAAATAGACACTTGATACTTTTTCTAGTCAGTCTTCATCTGCTTCGTTATCACATCCCATCGCATTAACTAACTTTCTGTAAGATAGGATGATTGTATAATCAAACGAATTTTTTGGTGCATTTGTTAATTAACAATTCGGAAACAAATTTTCCTGAAAAAAATAATTTCTTTTTATCGCTTACAAAAATAAATTAGCTAAATATATTTGCTAACGATATATATCGACATAAACTGTTGTTGATAGTGAATTATTTTTTCACTAGCGCTAACAATTCTAAGTGATGCAGACAATTATTTAAAAAAAATCTTCCAAATAATTATTTTTGTTATTACATATTGTTCTATGATATGGTCAAGTTAGTAAGAACGGATCAATCCATCCGGAACTACCTTACCTTCTCCATGGAATTTCACTGAACATGATCACAAACTGTACAAACAAATGTAGAAAAATACAATGCATTTCTACCTAAAATTTTATTTGAAAAGACTGCATTATTCCACTAGTTGGTGTTGCTCTAATTGCATACTTTAGTTTGATTAATCCCACTCAACATGAAATTTCCCTTTGTAAAAGTCCTTCCCTAAAATGTTAAGATTTTTCTTACAAGCACTTGTTGGGGGTGTAAGTTGTATTAGAAAGTCCCACATGGAATAATTGGTGTTGTGTGCAACAATTAATATACCAAATTGACTCATAAATCATTAGCTTAAGTTTTGAATGAAGGTAGGTCCAACTAAATATGTTGACAGATTTAAATTTGGGCTCTCTCTTTGTGATTTCCTTGGGCGAAAGTATTATACTTCTGCTGCACGCTCTCAACAAATTGTATTGACTAAATGATATCAAAGCTGATGCTAAAATTGTAAACCCCCAATCCGTTTCGATATTTAGTGAATATCTCAAGGTGGTGACCAGGGATAAATTTTGGGCATTGATTAAGATTCATAAGTTGAGATGATAAGTTGATTTAAAAGGATGCGTTAAGGGAGATTCAAGTTGAGATGATATGTTGATACAAAAAGATATCTAAATTAAGGGAGAGTGGACCACCAGACACCGAGCTCATACGTGAATGGGAGATTGTCCCACATCTAAAAATTGATAAAGTGTAAAGCTGTTGATATATCAAATTGATTTATAACTCATTGATTTAAGCTTTTGAGTGAAGTGGGTCCAACTGAATATATTAACGTGCTCCAACTTGAGCTCTCTCTTGGCAATCTCTCCAGGCGAAGGTATCAGGCTTCTACCATGTGCTCCCAACAACACTTTCATTTAAAAGTTCTACATGTAAGTCTCGTATTTGAACATTTTAGATGTGAGTCAATCTTGATTAGAGTTCTTACATACTTCTGTGTTACCCTTTGAGAGCTTTTCAATAACTTTTATTTTTGGGAAAATTCCAAATAATGACTTGAAGTACTCTCGTTTTCTCAAATAAGGGCATGAAATGCTCTTATTTTCTCAAATAAGGACATGAAGTGGACCTCATCTCAAATAAGAGCCTGAAGTGGCTATATTAGTCTCAAAGAAGGGCCTGACCTTGCTGGTTGAAGGACATTTTCGTCCTTTACTTTTTGTCCTTTTTTCTTTCTTTTTTCCTCTTTTATTTTCTTTCTTTTCCTTTTCCTTTTCCTTTTCTTTTCTTTTTCTTTTTTCTTTTCCCTCTCCCTTCGCTAGTGGCCTGCAAAGATTGCCGAACTCAAGCGAGGGCCACCCTCGCTCACTCAGCCCAGGCGAGGGCCACCCTCGCACGATGCTGGAGGGCCAGATCTGGCGAGGAACGCCCTTGCGTCGCTCTCGCCAGCCCAGGCGAGGGCAGCTCTTGCCCGCCCAAGCAATGCCCTCGCCGGATCTAGGGAGCAATGCCCTCGCATGAGGACGGCGGAGGTCGCCGATGATGGCCAGGGGAAGGAAAAGCGAAAAAAAAAAGAAAAGAAAAGGAAAAGAAAAAAAAAGTTAAAAAATCAATTAATTAAAAAAAATATACTTTAAATTTTTTTTTACTAAAATACCCCTTCTCCAATGGCCAGGATAGTCACCGGTAGGTCAAAATCCTTACTTGAGACGATTTAGCCACTTCAAAGCACTTCAGAGCCTTATTTGAAGCGATTCAGCCACTTCATGCCCTTATTTGAAACAAAGTCCACTTCAGGCCCTCATTTAAGAAAACGAAGGCACTTTAGATCCTTATTTGAAATTTTCCCTTTATTTTTTTCTTTCAAAACAAACTTTTAATTATCTATAACTATTTATATAATTTCTTTGCACCTAACCCTGAAACTACTATAACTTTATAAACAATAAATAGATGGAATAGTAAAGATGAGTATAGATGATGTTCACTGGAGGAATTCTAAT